TGAGTTTATAAATAAGAAAGAATTAAAAAAAAAGAAAAAAAGTAAATCTGTGTGTCGCTTTGGTGTTTTTCTGCGTGCAATTTTACTTGTTTCATTTTTTGCTTTATTGCCGTCGTATTTCACAACAATCGGTATCAGAGCCCTGGTTCAGATCTGAGAAAGAATGATGGCTGTAGACGAAGTGAAGGTTTCATGGATTGAGAAATTATGTTGCAGGTAACTTTGGGAAGGTATATTTGGCTGATGGAAAAGCTCTGGACGTGGTGGGGATGAGAGACGTTGATATTACACTCCCTAACAAGAGAAAATAGACTTTAAAAATCGTCAGACACGTTCCTGAGTTGAAGAAAAACCTCATCTCTATTGAGCAGCCCAATAATGGTGGTCATTCGGTAGTGTTCTCATATAGCACTTGAAAGGTTACTAAATGAGCATTAGTATTGGCTCGGGTTAAGAAAACTAACACACCATATATGACTACAGGTTTACTCAGACAGTGACACATAAGTCAGAGGTGCAGTATAGGGAAAGGTCAATTTCCTGAAAAGTGATAGAGCGCCAAAGGCAGGAAAATCGGACATTATACAGACAAATAATGAAGAACCACAGAGTTATGAAGAAATCTTGCAAGATGAGAATTTGAGCAAGTGGGAGCTGACAGAACTTCCACCAAGGAAGAAGGAATTGCACAACAAGTGGGTGTACCAGGTAAAAACTGTGTTTGGTGGGAGTAAGAGGTACAATGTTGGACTTGTTGAAAAGGGCTTTCAGCATAGGAAGGATATTGCTCATGCAGTCGGAGTTATAAGCAGATATAGGAGTAACTCAGGAAAGAGATTGGTGGTATAAGACTATATTGACGATGATATGTCAACTGAGGGTGTTACTCGTGAGAAGCTGAAGCTGTGCTCAACTTCAGCGGATCTTATGGCATGAATACAAGGACTTCAAGTTGCAGAGGTGGAAGATATCATGTTTGAGGAAAAGGTACGAATAGCTAGTAGATGATGCAAT